AGAATACCGGATTAAAACAGAAATCCGAAGAAAAAGTCCGAATAACGAATTGAAACGGGATGCCGATTTAAACAGAATACCGAAAAAGAAAAAAATTGCAACTTTGAATCTCGATAGTAATACGGAGCTGATTGGGAAGATCGAAGAAGCAATCTATTCCTAATCAGACTTACCGTGTGAGCAGATCCGTGAAATGGTCTGCTCCGATACCAAAACTGTTACATACTCGTGAATGCATCAACGAGTATGGGGCAGAACCAAAGATCAACCAGTATAGGAAGAGCATGTATGCAGCGGAAGTCTGATAAACGGACTGACTCACATAGACTGACTCACACAGATATCACTCCACGCACATACAATCGTGAGATGGTGGGGTCAGAGCCATGACCGAGATAGAATCCGATAGGTCACCGATATGGTAGTCCAAAATGTCATCAAACAAGATCAAAATGTCGAGGACAATCGTCACCAATGTCGGAGATACAGAGTCCTAATGTAAACGGTGTCCAAACTGTGATGCCGCCGAGTATCAACCCCAACAATCTCCAAGTCTCGAATCCGGTAAGTACCACAGCCTCATACCACCGAAGTCCAACACTGATCTCTGTCCAACTAGTATAAGTCTCCAATCTGAAGAAAAAGAAGAAGAAGAAGAAGTCTGAAGAAAGAAGAGAAGAAGAAGTCTGAAGAAAGAAGAGGAAGAAGAAGAAAAGAGAGAGAGAGATGGCAGAGGGGCAGAAGGAGGTGAGGAGGAGGGAACGGGACCGTGGAGGGAGGAGAAGAGATCCTCGCCTCCTGGTACCTGCCCTGCTGCTGTCGAGGCGGCTATGGCCGCCGTGCTGCTGTTGGTCTCCTCGCTCGCTGCCGCCGCTGCGCTAGCTCGCGCTGCTGCTGCTGCCCTCCACTCCTGCGCTCAAAATAGCGCTGCTGCTGCCAACCGATACGCACCGGCATAATGCTGGTGGCTCGATGCCTCGAAGTGAGGCCGGACCAGTACTAAGTACTGGTTCGAAGAAGACCGGCCTCAATGCTGCGAGGCCTCGGTTGGGTCTGAATCGTCCAGATTGACGATTCAGATCTGACCAGAGAACGACAGCCTCAAAGGCGCCGCCAGGCCCAAAACGAAAATGTCATTTGGGCCTGGTCCGTCGGTCTGGTCCAAGTCGTGGCCTTTCGGCCTGATAATCCCCCAAGGCCGGGCCTTTAGGCCCTAATGTGTCCCTCTAGCCCTAAGTCGGGTCCGGTAGGACCCGTGTGGCGTCGAAGATGTAACATGCGGACCAAATCCTGAACGCCATTGCTTTGGATCGATCCTCCCTGTCGTCATCTGCCCATAGAGAAGGAATAAATACTGAGGAAGCCCAAGAAAGATGCTCCATGGCGCTTTGTGATGACCCGCCGGATATTCAAGTAGCATGTAGTTCGCATGCCTTGTGCCATGAGGATTATGAAGGGATAGTCCATGCGAGTTTTTGCTTCCATTCGTATGATGATAGTCAGTACTGTACTCATGTACGGCACCCTGACATGTCATGTCCAATTTGTAGACGGGCTGGAACGGCAATGCCTCTATAATTGCGGTCAACGTGCCTCTGTGTTCCTAGCATGAAGGAGCCGCGTAGCCTGTGACATCTGTCTGCGCCGTGCCATTCGATGCAGCAACTGTGACTGCGGGATGCAGTGCTTCCATAGCCCACACCCGAACTGGCCCTGTCCAGTCTGTAGGGGTGGCCCATTGCCATTTTTTTTTTATTTTTTTTTTTGTGCAATCCTGTACCATGCTAGAGTACTCTGTTTCAATAGTGAATATTTCTAGGCTGAACTCCGGGCCGCCCGGTGGCCGGCTCGTCACCAGGGGGGGGGCCGGGCCGCCTGGCCGGTCGTTCCGCCTGGTTGGCCACCGGGCGACCCC